AAAGCTGGAAAGCAATGGCATTGTTGGACACGCATGGTTGCTTCAGAATGAAACCATGTGAAGGCACTTGCACTGAGCTAGCAATAATAAAGTCATAATCTCCATTTACATAACTTTTCAACTGGTGCAACCAACTGTGCATGTAACGGCAGACATAGAAATTAAAATATTTAATTACATGTCTAATAAGAGATTACTTAACTGCTGATTCCAATCATTTTTCTAACAATGTAATTAGATGGCATTGTGATGACAAAAGAGAAAATATTTGTCATCAACAGTTACTGGCTTGAATTTAAACAAGTCCCAACTGTTAGCAGCACAAACTCATGTTGCCATTCTCAGACAGCATAAATCTCCATGACAACTTCACTTATGAAAGGCAGCAGTAAGGAAACCCACTTCAGAATTATTCCAGGAATTTTGGTTGTCTGTTCTCAGTCTTTATACACAGGCTTAACATTTTGTCATTTGGCTTCAACCACTCATCAAGGTTATCTTTCATGCATATTAAAAGCAATTATACAGATGGTGAAATTTTGAAACAACAACTGAAAATGGTGGTTAACCTCCATGGGAGGAACCAACAGTTGATATTTCAAGTGTTTACCCTTCATCTGAACTGTAAAATAAGAGACCTATTAGTAGAACAGAAAAATTGGAACACTAAGCAAACATACAGAGGAAACAGCAGTGGAATGACACAACAGCTCACCTCAGTCACTTCAATAAAAACAGTAAAATAAATGGAGGATATTAAAGAAAGGCTCTGTGACCAGCCAAGGAAATTACAGGTTGAACGAAAACAGGAAAGATGGAATTGAAATTAAATCAAGGATGAAATGAAAACAGGCTTGGTACAGAAGATGCTGGCAAACTGCAGCGGCTCCTCCCAATGGGGACAGAATATGTCTGCATTAGCAAAAACATTCCATGCTCCAACAAACCAGAGTTAGGAAATGTTCCCAAATTTCTCGCTTCACTCTACAGATAACAATTTTGAATTAATAACTCCACAGCACTTTGGGGAGATGGTGGCATAATGATAATGTCACTGGGTTAATAATCCAGAACACCAGGCTTATATCCTTGGGGCAAGGGTTCAAGTCCCATAGCAGATGGCAAAATGTGAATTTAATAAAAAATTATGGAACAAAATGTAAACCTAATGGTGACAGTGTAGCCAGTATGTATTGTTGTAAAAACACATCTGGTTCACTAATGTTCTTTAGAGAAGGAAATATGCCTTCCTTATCTGGTCTGGTCTACATGTGACTCCAGACTAACACTATCATGGTTACCTTTTAACTACCCTCTGGATAACTATGAGTGGGTAATAAGTGCTGGCCTCACTGGATCTGAACTATATATGTACTCTACGGTTTCAATCAACATTCTTTCTATGTTGGAATGGTCAGGTTTTCATAAAGTACCAGAACTAACCTAACCAGCATTTGTACAAATTCATCATTATGTCTAAATACATGCAATTAGAAAGCTTAAATTGCAGTTAATTTCTTTGTGGTTTTATCCACCCCACTCCCACTTTCAGGGATGTGTTTGGAAGCTGATTGGATTTAGGCTACAGGTCAACTGCTGGGCCAAAGGAAATGAGAATAAACAGATGTTTGATGACTATTATTCACATCATCGTTAGCCACGGGTGAGATCCCAGTAGACTGGAGGGTAGCGAATGTTGTGCCCTTATTCAAGAAGGGCTACAAAGAAAAACCTGTAAATTATGGACCAGTAAGCTTAACATCTGTGGTAGGTAAGTTACTTGAGGAGATTCATAGGGATTAGATATAGATGCATTTAGAAGGACAGGGTTGATTAGGCGTAGTCAGCATGGCTTCGTGCGTGGGAAATCATGCCTCACAAATTTATTAGAATTCTTTGATGAAGTGACCAAGAAGGTTAATGAGGGCAGAGCAGTAGATGTAGTCTATATGGATTTCAGTAAGGCCTTTGGTAAGATTCCACATGGTAGGCTGCTCTGGAAGGTTAGATCGCATGAAATCCAGTGAGAATTGACAAATTGGATACACAATTGGCTTGATGGTAGGAAGCAGAAGGTAATAGTGGAAGGATGCTTGTCGGACTGGAGGGCTGTGACTAGTGGTGTGTCTCAGGAGTCGGTGCTGGGCCCATTGCTGTTTGTTATCTGTGTCAATGATTTGGATGAGAATGTACAAGGCGTGATTAGTAAGTTTGCGGATGACACTAACATAGGCGGTATCATGGACAGTAAGGAAGGTTATCAGAAATTGCAGCAGGATCTTGATCAGCTGGGGAAGTGGGCCGAGAAATGGCAAATTGAGTTTAATATAGGTAAGTGTGAGGTATTGCATTTTGGAAACTTAAATCAAGGTCGGAGTCTCATGGTCAATGGTAGGGCCTTAAGGAGTGTAGTAGAACAGAGGGACCTTAGAGTTCAGGCGCACAGTTCTCTGAAAATGGAGTCCCAGGTTGACAGGGCAGTGAAGAAGGCTTTTGGCATAATGGCCTTCATCAATCAGGGCATTGAATATAGAAGTTGGAAAGTTATGATGCAGTTGTACAGGACGCTAGTGAGGTCGCACTTGGAGTATGGTGATCAGTTTTGGTCACCTTGCTGTAAGAAGGATGTTATTAAACTGGAAAGAGTACAGAAGAAATTTACAAGGATGTTGCCAGGACTCAAGGGACTGAGTTATCGGGTGAGGTTGGATAACCCTAGGACTTTTGTCTTTAGAGTGTAGGAGACTGAGGGGCGATTTTATAGAAGTGTATAAGATCATGACAGGCATGGATAGGGTGAATGCACTCAGTCTTTTTCCCAGAGTTGGGGATCGAGGACTATAGGGCATCAGTTTAAGGTATGAGGGGAAAGAACACTTGGGAACCTGACGGACAACTTTTTTACACAGAGGATGGTACACATATGGAGTGAGCTGCCAGAGGAAGTGGTTGAGACGGGTACATTAGCAACATCTGAAAGGCATTTGGATGAATACATGGATAGGAAAGGTTTAGAAGGATATTGGACAAGTGAAGGGAAATGGGGTTAGCATGGATGAACATTTTGGTCGGCACGGACCAGTTTGGGCTGAAGGGCCTGACTCCGTGCTGTAGGGCACTATGACTCTATGACTCTCTGACCAGCATGGACATGATGATCTGAAGGCACCTGAATCCACCAACATGTCCTTTGAGTGACTGATCCAGTTTAAATCCATACAGAAAGTTCAAACAACCCCTACATACCATTCTGTGCACATAAGTAAATTCAATTCATTATCTGAAACTGGTGTAAACTGGCAAATTTAGAATGTTTTATTATGATGGCATTTAGCGTTATCTTCCACTTTAATGATCAATATGCAGTGTCAATTGCAGCAGCACTAAAAAAAGGGCAGAATTTTAGGAGCAAGCGCAGACTGGAAGCGAAGGCAGCAGCCAGCCAACAGTCCCGATAGAAGCCTGCTCTCCACTCTTAATGTGCTGCACATGAGCTAAATTGTGGAACACTGGGCTTCCAACTTGGAGCAGTGCCAGAGCTGGGTAATGGGTGTTGCCGGGACTGGAAGCAATCCCAAGAAGAAGGCACAATGGAAGCCTGAACCTGGGCAACAAAGGGGCATTCAGTAGAAAATGTTCATCCACCTTAGGGGGTGGGGTGTGGGTGGTTTGGAGAGGTGAGTTTTAAAGTCCATGCAGAGGGGAAGGAAGTGGAGGAAGGTCTATCACCTGGGGTGTGGAAAGGGTCCCAACACAAAACATCGACTTTCCTGCTTCTCTGATGCTGCCTGACCTGCTGTGTTCCTCCAGCTCCACACTGTATCAACACTCTCTTATGTCCATCTGGTCATGCCAAAAGTGTTATGGCATATGTAGGCTAACATTGGGTTTTTAATAAGCTCAGTCGTCCTTTAATGGCAGAGCTGATGGACTAATGGTTTTGGCACTAGACTATTAATCCGGAGACCCCAGTTCAAATCCAGCCATGACAGATAGCAGAACTTAAGCTAATTAAAAAGAAGTTAGGAGTCTAATAATGACTGTGTACACATGGCAACTGTCAGGGTAAAAGCCCATCTGATTTGCTTACATGCTTGAGGTGAGGAATCCCTGCTGGGCAATTAGGGATAAAGAATAAATGCTGGGCTAGCCAGCAACACCCATGTCCTGCGAGTAACTAATTATTTGTTTAAATAGGGTTGGAAAGCTGTTGCTTTTGGCACCCATCTTCTCTCCAAATAATGGCGTGAACTCTGGGGTGGGTAGGAAGGTAGTGAGCTGAGCATTCGCCCTTTTTTTTGTACCTCTACCCACAAAAAACACATCTGGCATGGACACAAAGAATTCCAATCCTTGAAACAAGACTTGTTTCAATTTCTGATAACTGTAGATGCCACAAATCAGAAAGGAGCATTCAAGTGTGTGTAATTTTCTTTTTATTTAAGCTATCAGGTAATATAACAAATTATTTAGATAAAGAAAAGGGTTAAAATTTTGAATTGCCTTGTCAAGACCTAAAGCTGTGCCATGATATAATGTCTGCATTATGTTGGTTGTATTCGTAGTTCCATGAAATGTCACATTATCAACTCCAATAAAAAGTTCACTGGTAAAGCACAATGTGTCAACATGAAAAAATAACAGAAAGCCACAAATTTGAACTCCAGGAATACCAAAATTTTAGGTTTCCTTCTTAGACAGTTACTTGACAAAATCACTGTCAGAAGTGACCCTGTGCCCCCATAATCAGGGAGACACACCTGACATAACAGAAGATGGCATAACCTTATCCCTACATCCACACAACATATGATCCAGTCTATTCCACCCCTCTGGCCCAGTTCTTCTTTGCTTTTCCTGTCAAGTGAGTCCGCGACCACCTTGCGTCGAAAGCCGCCATATGCAAAGCGTAAAGGGGATAAGCAGCATTGGAAAGACAATGTAAACAACATTTAAATAAACATGTTTAAGGTTATTTAAAGATTAACATTTTCACTTACCTCAACAGTCCATGAATCAGTAGGAGTCTTAAAAACACGATATGTGTAAACTAATCCAGAGTACCTGTCAATTAAAATGCAACCAATTTAGACTTGGAGCAAAACATCTATGGAATATTAAACTTGGTGTGATTGAGAGATGGGGTGGGTGTACATTTTACTGTAGTTGTACACCTTGCTTTTCTCTACTTCCTTCCCCCAAACCTGCCATGTTCCTTAAAACTGCAAAAGATCTAAAACCTCTCCTTTTGCTAGTCTGTGAAGCGAGGGGTTGAAGGCCTTGATGCAGAAGGCTGAGGAGGGGGAAACGCCGTCACTCAATCTGGCACTCAAAGCCACCAGCAAACATACTGAAACTACGGAAAAGTTAGAAAGCAGGATAGAGGCAGAACCTGCACATGATCAAGTCAGGTGGCATAAACAGGCAGTAGCCAAGGCAGGGACAAAGATCAGATGGATGCCAACTCCCTGGAAGCTGAGGTATGACACAGAGAACTCGTGCAAGGGATTTTAATGCAGTAATGAATAGAAACAAATTGATAGGCATGCACATAAAATTATTTGACAATTTGGCATATCTGCCAGAATGTCTGTTGATACTATCACATATTATGGAGGAATTGGTTCCTAATTAGCACAGAGCTTTGTGCTGAACCCAGAGCATATCCTGCACCAGATGGAAGTGGTGGGCATCCTCTGAGAATACATGTGGGTCCGATCATAAAACTGTTTCTGATAGACAATATCTCAGCTTCCATGGCACCACAGGGTGAAGTGACCTAATTTTGATTGCTGATGTGGAAGATCAGGCTGACATTATGAAATATAAGCTTGTGGGCTTGCAGTCCCCACTGGTGCCATCATGACCGTGGATACTGTGCTCAAAAGGAGATTTTAGGGTCTCACTACAGTCCAGCAAATTGTGCTCCAACAGATTACTTGGATACCTAAGGTACAGACCCTGCTCTAAGTTGTATAGTGCTAAATAGTGAGGATCTTGGGTTGCATTCGGGAGAATCAGAATCGAATAATGAGCTCAGCGACAGGCACTCTGAAATGTGAGATAACACAGTGTGGAGCTGGAGGAACACAGCAGGTCAGGCAGCATCAGAGGAGCAGGAAAGTCAACGTTTTGGGTTTACACCCTTCATCAGGACTCTGACTCCAGCATCTGCAGTTCTTTCTATCTCCATTTCAGAAGTGTGAATTTGTCAGCTGCTTCCCATTTCTTCTTCCCCCTCTTCCACCTGACAATGTTGCCAAATCCATGGTGGCAAGGCTTAAACCTGAATGAGGGTCAGTTCATGTAGGAAGCAGCTGATTCCAATACATTGGGACATCACCTCGTGTACTACACACAATCAGTAATGCGCAGCACCAAGGGGAAACTTGCAGGAAATGAGCAGGTAATAAATGCCCCTCTCATGGTATAACATTGCTCCGTCACCTCCCAAAATGCACTGAAGAATGATAAACTGCAGAATGTTTACTATGTTTCTTCTTCCAGCCCAGAAAGATCCATTGGCAAACATTTCAGGGCTACAGTAAATGTCATGTCCAGTTGCTCTCAACTAGTTCCAAGATTTGGCACAGATCTGTGGACTGAGATCCCTTCCTCATGTCACAGCAAGCAGCTTGTTTTATTCTTTGCTGCCTCCCTTCTGCCATAGCCCAGGGAGAACTGCGAGCAATGCTCCTAGAAGCAGGTGGTGTACTGAGAGCTCTTGAAATAGCAACCACTACCTTTCTCATAGCAACACCTCCCTGCAGACTTAGCAACTGAAAGAACCCCTCCAAATACCCAACTCTTCCACAAACCCAAACCTAACCAATGCTAAATGATAAGCAACCAGCCCACAGGCTAGTTCACTTTTAAATTGAAAACTGAAAGAACTGCGGATGCTGTAATTCAGGAACAAAAACAGGAGTTGCTGGAAAAACTTAGCAGGTCTGGCAGTATCTCATATCATACAGTCCTTACAGTGCGGAAACAGGCCCTTTGGCCCAACAAGTCCACACCGCCTCACAGATGCTGCCAGGCCTGCTGAGATTTTCCAGCAAATTCTGTTTTTGTTCAATTATAAATTCTTTATTATAAATAGTGCTGGTGTTGAAGTTGGTGGGGTTGGGGAAAGGACACCCTCTGCTATTGCTGCTCAACTCGTGGTCAGCCATGTGTGCTTAAAAAAAGTAACTGAGATCAAAACAGGCAAATTGGCATTAAGCCAGCATGAGACTTTGACTCATATGACAATCTGACAAAACTTCCGACATGCATTTGGCACTAGCATCCTCACCAAGTTGGCATTCTTCATGAGTTGTGTGAGCTGTGGGCAGAAACAATGCAGTTATCAGATTTTTCTTTTTAATTAAAGCAGTACTTGGCACTACTGGCACAACGCACGAGATCATTTTGTAGCTTGAGACTTTTTGGCATATAAACATGGTCACCCATAGAATATATGCACACTGAATAAACTATTCCAATATATTTATCTCTTGTGCTCATGCTTTCACAGCCATGTGGATACACAACACAATCAGTGCTTTAAATATACAGGATTTCTAAGGTGTACACTATGGTTATAGTGGTAGGGGACTAACAAAGCAGAGGTTGTGAGTTTGCATCCCATCATTGCATGTTTTGAAGCTAAATTCAGTAAATCTGGCAATTTGTGGCGTGACACCAAATTCAGCGAACATAAAACTCCAACAAGGAGAGATGGGGAGGGAAATTGGGTGAAATCCTCCCAGTGGTGGCCAATGGAGGACTATGGAAGGCAGATGAATCGCCCATGCAGGAGGGTCAAACAGCAGTCGAAGGGAAGCGGGGGGAGCGGAAGCCCCACTGACAATGTGTGCGCTGTTCAGGTGAACAAAAAGAGAGAGATGGTACCACAAGATAGAGGGGTGCTACTCATTCTGTAACAGGTAGTCAGCTTCCACCACCCAGAACTATCATGTTGCTCCATCTGTAGGGAGAGCACATCCACTTGACAGCATTTGCTGGTGGATGAAAACTACATTCTCATTTTTGGATCGCCCTGAATATTCATTTTGTGGAACTCTGACTGTGCTCATTCCTCCTGAAGGTGATGAGCTGCAGACATAGCTAGAGTCATGTGGACGTCCTGCAAATTCCACTGCCGTAGGACATAGGTGAAACAATGGTCGGAATTGACTGTCTGCTAATTCCAGTGGGTAGCGGTCAGTCCCAAGAGGAACCTCTGGAGAAAAGAGACAACAACACATCAGGCTACTGGAAAAGTGACAGGCACAGAACCATGAGTAACCTTCACCAACTAAATTCACCTCCTGTGCTCCAGAAAAATATCATGCTTTCACAGTTGGTCTGAAAAGCCAGTGATTTGTACAATCAAATAAAATTACCACCCAATAAATTAGCTCGGCATAAGCAATGAATAAAAGGTTAAAAATCTGTTGAGCTAATTAAAAACTAACCTTATGTTGTAACTCCATAAGATACAATTCCCATCAGAGAAATATCTGTAAACTTATCATAAGTGACAGTGAAGCCTGATCCGTAGTTCCCTTTATTCACTTGTCCCACTTTCAATGAAATTCCATTCACAAATTTTACTTGATACAGCCAGTCACTAAGAAAAAACAATACAGTACAGGAGCAGGCCCATCGGCCCGCTGAGCCTGCGCCAACACATTTAGCCCTTCCATAGAAATAGAGAAACATAGAAGACAGGAGCAGGAGAAGGCCATTCGGCCCTTCAAGCCTGGTCCGCCATTCTTCACCATCATGGCTGATTGTCCAACTCAATAGCCTAATCCTGCTTTCTCCCTATAACCTTTGTTCACATTCATTCCAAGTGCTACATCTAACCACCTCTTGAATACATTCAATGCTTTGGCACCAACTACTTTCTGTGGTAATGAATTCCACAGGCTCACCACTCTCTGGGTGAAGAAATGTTTCCTCATGTCCGTTCTAAATTGTCTACCCCGAATCCTCATACTGTGACCCCTGGTTCAGGACACACCCACCAACAGGAACATCCTCCCCGCATCTACCCTGTCCAGCCCTGTTAGAATTTTATAAGTCTCTATCGGATCCCCCCTCATTAGCCTGAACTCTAGCAAAAACAATCCCAACCTAGTCAATCTCACCTCCTATGTCAGAGCTGCCATCTCCGGAATCAGCCTGGTAAACCTTCGCTGCAGTCCCTCAAGAGCAAGAGCATCCTTCTTCAGAAAAGGAGACCAAAACTGCACACAATATTCCAGGTGTGGTCTCACCAAGGCCCTGTACAACTGCAACAACACATCCCTGCTCCTGTACTCAAAACCTCTCACAATGAAGGCCAACATACCATTGGCCTTCTTTACCGCCTGCTGCACCTGCATGCTTACCCTCAGCGACTAGTGCACAAGGACACCCAGGTCCCGCTGCACAGTCCCCTCTCCCAATTTACAGCCATTCAGGTAGTAATCTGCCTTCTTATTTTTGCTTCCGAAGTGAATAACCTCACATTTATCCAAATTATACTGCATCTGCCATTGATTTGCCTTTCACCCAACCTGTCGAGATCATGCTGAAGGATCTCTGCATCCTCGTCACAGTTCACCCTCCCACCCAACTTGGTATCATCTGCAAACTTGGAGATGCTACATTTTGTTCCCTCATCCAAATCATTAATATATATTGTGAATGGCTGGAGTCCCAGCACCAAGGCCTGTGGCACCCCACTAGTTACTGCCTGCCAATTTGAAAAGGACCACATGGAAACAGTCTTCACTTGCAGGATCCGTATCCCTCTATTCTCTTCCTGTTCGTGTATTTGTCCAGGTGCTTCTTGAATGCTGCTATTGTGTCTGCTTCCACTGCCTCCTCTGGGAGCGCATTCTAGGCACTCATCATCCTTTGTGTGAAAAACGTGCCTTGCATATCTCTTTTAATCTTCCCCTACCTCCCGCACCTTGAATCTGTGTTCCCTAGTAATTAACCCTTCCAACCTGGGAAAAAGCCTCATACTTTCCACTCTATCCATAACATTCACAATCTTATAAACTTCTATCAGGTTGCCCCTCAAC